TAAAAGCTAATGAAAACACAGAACACCAACCCTGAGCAAAGTAAATCTCCCTGGAAACAGCCTATCTCTGTCACCACCACCTGCATCATCAAATATACAAACAATCACATAATCAAAATGTAAAGTGGCTGAGTTCAGGTTTCAAGGCACTGAAATAGACAATGTAGACAGAGCTAGACTCCCTGGTTCAGCCAGGCTCAAGTCTAGTCTTTCCCAACACAGGTATTTACAGACAACACTGATAAGTAAATTTATTAAACTAAGGTTTAGGTGCAGACCTAGCATTTTACTGAACTGGAAGGAGGAAGAAATGTTTCTAGTCCTCATAGACTAAAAGGTGGAAACCAAAAATACTTTTCTAAGCAATGTAACAATGACATGCATATCGATTCCCAGCGTTAGTGTTGGGGAGACAAATGGTCTAGTTTGACATGAGATGCAGCCAAGTTAAAAACTGAGCTAAGATGAAAATACTAAGCCTTAGGATTGTCATCCTGCCATGCAACTAAGGGTAGAGGGGGGACAAGTCACAGGGTTCAGTTCCAATCAGTCAAGTTCTGAGGCTATCTGGGAAAGGCAAAAATGTAGTGCAATTTTGTGTTTTAGTAAAAAGAATCGGAAAAGCCTTGTGGTAAATGGAAATCCCCTTAGTAAACTTAGGCTAACAAAGAAGTGAACTGGGTGCAGATGGCTTTTTAGATGGAAGCAGCAGTTCATACAGAGACAGTACTTGCATGTGTGCATGCCTATGTGTATGTGGAGCAGGTTTCTGTTTTGTTTTGCAACAAAGAATAGTAAAAGACGAAGCTAAGGAGACAGCTAGAGGCCAGATCATGAAGATACTCATAAGACACATTCTAAAATTTGCATAAACAAAAAAAGACCTTGCCCCTTTCACCTATAGAAGCCTTGCTCATGTCTTTAGGCCCAGGCATCACTGTTGTCTCTCTTCACTGAACTCCCTCAGCAGGTATAGTAAGCAGAGTTTGCATTTGCCTTTAGAATGATTTGTATTAAGCAATCTTGAGTACAAAAAAAAATCTATTTTATACCTATGCTATTTAATATATTCTTGATATATTCATTATTATTTATTATTTTTTTAGAGAGAGACTTTTGCTATAGGGAGCATGCACTCACCAGATACAGAAAGTGAGAAATCACCCACCCGGGGAGGATGGCCACGCTACAATCCCTTCTCCTCCACTCTCTTCTTGGGATTTTGGGCATGCATGCACACATGCTTAGCCACTGGATCTGGGACTCAAACAGCAGTCCACAATGTGGGAGTCCAATGACATAACCATTATGCCATCTGCTGGTCCCATTTTTTTAAACTGTCAGCGGGGTGTATGTGTTTTCCAGAAAGAGACAGACAGGAAGAGAAAGCATCCCCCAATGGGGCATAGTCACGCCACAATCCCTTCTCTTCTATTTCTCTGTCCTGTCAGGGTACATGCACACATATGCCAGCATGTTTTTCAAACCACTGAGGCCAGAATTCGAAATGTGGTCAATCACGTTGGTATACAGCTCTCTTAACCACGAGACTACAGGGCTGGCCTACACATTCATTCTTTTTGTTTATTTGCTCATTTTTGTTTTTTCAGATTTTTTGCTAAAGGGTGTGTGCACTCACCAGAAAGAGACACAGAGAGACAAGGAAACTGAGAAATCAACCCCCAAGGTGGATAGTCATGCTACAATCTCTCCTCCTCCAATCTCCTCTTGGGATTTTGGACACAGGCACAAACACCTGGCATGTTTTTCAGGCCACTAGATCTGTAACTCCAACCATGGAGATGGCCATGTGGGATTCAGCACCTTAACCACCACGCCACCTGCTGGCCCCACATTTATTCTTTTAAGAAACATTTGTTAGACATGCCAGGCAATGTTTTGAGTATTGACATAAACATGTTCTTTTCTCTTCTAGGGCAAGTGAGAGCAGACCAGGAATTACTGTTCATTGGTAAACTGTTAAGTCCAGTCACAAAATTTGGTTACATTAATCGATGCCTTTCTTTAAAGGTGTCATTATAGAAATTGCTTTTTTTCAATGCTATGCAAAGAGACTTCATGTGTATGAATGTTTCTATAATAACAGTATATCTTCATTTACCTCCAGAGGGAAAATATTCCAGACCATCACAGCTCTTTCAAAATCAAACAAAATTTCTATAAAATACAATGTAGGATGCTCCTCAGTTCTCAACTTATAAAAATGATGACCCCGACTTAGTCTCCAAAGGAAAACAATCAATCCAAAAGATTATCATGGAGTTAGAATATCTACCCACATTTTTGTTTACCACTAATTCATGTGCTCTGTATTAGATAATGATGGAGTAAGAGTTGAAAGGTCAGTTTATTGGCGGAGGGGGGGGGGCTTAAAGAGCTGCACTTAAATCTCCATTATAGAATGGCCATTTAGATCAAACTTCAGAATGGTTTTATCAGTGCTTTTCAAAGAGTGGTCCCCACAACAACAGCAGAAGCAGCACCCAAGAAGTGGCTAGAAATGTGGATTCTCAGGATCAGCAGATGGCATAGCAGTTATGTCACTGGATTCACACATGGCCAACCATGATTCAAGTCCAGGACCCAGTGGCTTTAAAATCACACTGGGCGCATGTGTGTGCATGCCCAAGATCCCAGGAGGAAAATGGAGGAGAAAGGACTGCAGTGTGACCATCTCTCTCAGGAAGGGGGTGATTTTTCACTTTCCCTTTCACTGTGTCTGTCTCTCTCTCCATCAAGTGCATGAGCCCTAAGGCAAAACCTCTTAAAAAAAACAAAAAAGAAGAAGAAGAAAGAAAGAAAGAAAGAAAGAAAGAAAGAAAGAAAGAAAGAAAGAAAGAAAGAAAGAAAGAAAGGAAAAAGGAAAGAAAAGAAGAAAAAGAAAGGAAAAGAAAAGAAAAGAAAAGAAAAGAAAAGAAAAGAAAAGAAAAGAAAAGAAAAGAAAAGAAAAGAAAAGAAAAGAAAAGAAAAGAAAAGAAAAGAAAAGAAAAGAAAAGAAAAGAAAAGAAAAGAAAAGAAAAGAAAAGAAAAGAAAAGAAAAAAGAAAAGAAAGAAAAGAAAAAAGAAATGGAGATTTTTGAGCTAGCAGGTTTACAGTGGTTAAGGTGGTTGGATCCCACATGGCTGATTACATGGTTTGAATCTCAAACCTAGAGACTTAAAAACACACTGGTCACACGTGCATGTGTGTACAAAATCCTGAGCAGAGAATGGAGAAGGGATTGCGGCATAGTCATTCCCTTCTGAGGGGTCATTTCTCACTTCCCCTCTCTTTGTCTCTCTCTCTCTCTAGTATCCTATGGGAAACAAAAATTCTCATTCCATTTCATTTTATTGAATCACAAATCTGTGTTTAAGAAGTCTTCTGGTGCTTCTGATGCACATAAGTTTTGAAACATTTTTCAGCATGCACCAACAAAACAAAACTCTCCCCTATCTTAATGAACTTTAGGTTGGGAAAGAATCTTAGCATACAGACCAACCTTCTTGTGTATTTACAGATCTGGAAACTGAGGCCTAGAGACTATCAATGGTAACTGAGATTTGGAGTAAAATGTGTTCTAGCATCAAAGCTGAGACCCTAGATACACAACACTGGCGTCATCCCTAATAGTGCGTATCAGAAATCAAGTTTCATTTAAAGGGCCTAAGTGTAGAAAGCTCTTTCAAGGTGTTAAAAGACCCAGATAAAGCTGCAGAACCCATCGTATCTAAATGCTCAGTCTAAAATATTAGAAGATGGCTTCTCCTATGGCACAGAAGTTGGGTGCAGAGCACTGGAATCAGATCGCACATGGCCAAGTGCCGCTCAAATCAAAGCCCTGTAGGCCTGAATCACATACCAGGTGTCTGTGCACATGTATACAAAATCCCAGCAGGACGGAGCAATGGAGAAGGGGTTGTGGCATAATCACCCCCCACTGGTGGGTGCTTTGTACCTCTCTCACATTCTCTCACTCACTCACTCTCTCTCTATCTCTCTCTCTCTCCCTCTCCCTCTCCCTTTCCCTGGTGAGCAGACATGCCCTCTGGCAATTACAGAAAAAAATATTTGAAGATATTCTTGAGAGAGAAAATGTGTGAGTAAATAAAAAATTCAGTGACCAGAAATATCAGGCTCGCCATCTGATTCAAATCTAGGCAAGCTCTCAGGGTTCCTTCACCAGCCAAAAACTAGAAATATTCCTCTGCCTCATTCAAAAAGCTCCTTAAAAGGATAATCCAGCTTTTACAAGTAATTCTGTCAATCCAGGATAATAGTTATGAATATATTCTTAAGTCACCTACTAGTGTGGTCTTGGGAAAGTTGTATTCCCTCCCTGTTCCTCAGTTTCTCAATCTACCTTAGAGGGCTGATGGAAGAATTAAATGGGGTACTACATGTAAACTTCCTCTTTTTATGTAAATGCTCTGTAAATGATGACTGCTACTCTCTCTGTTATTCATATTAGTAATAGTGTTACCAAACCTACAGTGTAGACTGTTTATATGCTTTCCTTCACTTCTGAAGGGGCACCATGACTGAATGACAGTGATATGTTTTCATTACTTCCGGTGTGTCTGTGCTGGTCTGGCCACATGGCCTTATCTCGCTGTCTGTGCATTAATAAGGAAGGGTTAATAGTATAGTTAGGGTTATGGCATCAAGATAGCCAACTGCCCCACATAGTAGTTCAATTTCCAACTTGAACCTCATAAGCAATATTCCCAAGAACAACTAGTCACCAATTGATCATTGAGACCCCAACCTAAATATTTTTCATTGACAGATATACTTTTAAGCAAATATCTTCCCTCACCCAAGAAAAGTCTTCAGAATATCTTGTAACAGCTGAATAAATATTTTCTGGACAGAAGTGTCCAGAGTGTACAGTTTTGTAGCTTCATGTACTGAATGACAAAAGCTTTGAGAATATCTGTTAAGAGGAAAAATACCACTGTGTCCTCCACAGGGCAATTTTGGCACTAAAATTCCTTACCCGGCTGTGAAATTTGGCAGTTCGATAAGACTTGGGTGACAGATTGTACACTGTGTAGTGGTCAAGATGTCTGGAATCCAAAAAGCTTCGAATATCATCAACCTGATTCCTGAATCCTATGTCAACATTGTCCAGAGGAAAGGACATCACTAGGAGAGGTCACAGGAAGAAACAGGTTAAACTGGTCGCTGTCACAATGGGCATCAACTGAAAGGTGAGCCAAGGAGCAGGTAATAAACACAGGAGACTTACCAATAATTCTGGAGGTCACATACGTGAAGTCTAAATCTCCCTTTGTGTAGCTAAAAGCAAGACAGGAAAGGGGACTCATGAGTCAGTCACTTGCAGGCCATAAACTGGAACACTTCTGCCCTGTGGGCATCTTTTGGCTCCCCTCAATCCCTTCTTTCTAACAAGGAAGCCTTGTGAAGACAACCCACACCCTCAGGGGTATAAACACACCACTCCTACTGCTGCCTCCCAATGTCCTTGTAGATACTGCTTCATGAACAGAATCACTCTAGAATAGAAGACACTGCTTATTTATTAACAATGACCATTCCATTCTCTACCTATGGTCAAATATCTCCCATTATTGTAAGCAGCTAAGGCAGGGAAATAAGTAGCCAAGAAAGAACAAATGACACCCTTTTTCTGTTCATTGGAAAATGGAGGTAAGGATATATTTAAACCAAAGATTAAAATGTTGATTACTCGACATTAGAGTTTATGCTTCGAAACTATACCTTATAACCTAAGGTGTCCCTAGAATTTTCTAAGACCTAAGAATAAAAAAATCATTTACATGGTCACTTGTAAGACGTTTCATACAGTGTTAGAGTGAAAAATTTCTCCCACTAAATAAATCTTAAAGGGCTAGTAAAGTACAAAACCAAAGCTGTTTTAATTACAATCCATATGTATTACTTATTCAGACTACATATGCGTTATCTCATTTATTCCTCAAATCTCCCCAAAATACAAACACCCTCAGGTTGTAAAAGTAAAGTTCACATAGGTTAATTAACTTGTCTTAGGTCACCTGGTTAACAAGGACAGGTACTGCATTAGAATCCATGATGTTTGACTCTGAAGCCAGGAAAGGCAAACACTATAACATACCAATGAGCGGAGTCCTCCCAGTCCGCACTTGGACCTTCTAAAGGACTCAACTTCATTGTTTCAGTGACATGCCTCAGTAGACCAGATCCCATAAAATTAGATCACAAAATTGATATTCTTTAAGACAGACAAGCAGTCTGCAGGCAAACCGGATCCTTTGGAACCGCAGGGGTACACAAATTCAACAAGGAACAATGTGCATACCTGGTGACGGATTGTATGACTCTGGAAGATGTGTCTTTGAGGGTGTCTTTCAAATTGTCCTTTAGGTTACTGAAGAGCCTTCCTGCACCTCCTTTCACCATGTCAAAGAGGCCTCCCCCATAGCTGGGCTCCATGTCTGGAGATGAGGCACCTGCCAAGGAAAAACAGGAAAGGAGGTGATGGCATATTCTATGCTAAAAACCCACCCTTCTTCATTCCTAAAACATACATGGGCCATCTTTGGGAGTCTGAAACAGATATTCCCGGAAGATAGTCAGAACATTTTGACTTTCAGTGACTGCAATGCTGCTGGTCCACAAAGGAGACCAAGGTATGTCCCCGACTGAGTTCCAGGAACAGACACCTCCAGAGCTGCACTGTCCAATTCTACAGCCACAGCCACATGTGCCAACCGAACACAAAATATGGCTAGTCCAAACTGAGATGTACTGGAAGTATAAAATGCACAACAGATTTCAAAAGCTTGGTGCAAAAAAAAAGGCAAAAAGAAAAAAGAATGTAAAATATCTCAACATCCTATATTGATGATATGCTTAGATATATTGAACTAAACAAACTGTACTATTAAAATTAATTTTACCAGGGGCCAACAGGTGGCATGGCGGAGTCTCACATTACTGACCATGGTTCAAACCCTCGACTGGATGGTTTGCTTTCTCACTTTCCCTCTGTCTCTCTCTGGTGAGCACATATGCCCTATAGCAAAATTTAAAAATATATAATAATAAGTAAACTTAAAATAAGAATTCTTTCAAAAAAATAATTTTACCTGTTCCTGTTTACTTTTTTACTGTGGATGCCAGAAAACTTTAAACTACATATGTGGTCTGGATTATACTCTTTCTGAACCACTGCTGCTGCAGAGAAACTGCCCAGGAAGGGCAGCCATCAGTTCCCTGAGTCCAGAGAACTCTGCCTTTTAGTGGAGTTGCCTGAGTTAGAAGCTGCATTCCATGGCTGACCCTCAAAGCAATAGCTCATTTCCACCATAGAAAATATCCCTTGAAGGGCGTTTATAAGAGCTTTTAGGCCTAAGGATACATGGTGGTCATTAGTATTATCTGCCAAATATTTCAGGTTCTCTTCCCTTACAGCGTCATGAAGTTGTATTTTCTGGCCCCTTGTGGTTAGCTCTAGCCTAGGATTTCTCAACCTCGGCAATGCTAATGTTTGGGGTCAAATACTTATTTGGAGTGTGTGTGTGTGTGTGTGTGTGGGTGTGTGTGTGTGTGTAGAGAGAGAGAGAGAGGCACTGTCCTATGCACTGAAGGGTATTTAATAGGATTCCTGGAGTCTATTCACTAGATGCCAGTAGCACCTGCTCCTGACACCCCTCATCAACCCTGAGTTGTGACAACCTAAAATGTCTCCAGACATTGGCAAAAGTACCCTGGGAGGCAAAATTACCCCAGGTTGAAAGCCACCACTCTTGTCTATCACTTCTAGGATTTAACAGTTAACTGTTAGTGTGAAACCCACCATACGTCATTCATTCTCATACTCTCTTGCTCTCTCGCTCTCTCGTTCTCTCTCTCTCTGCCATAAAGACTGGCGCTGACTCTTGCGTCCCACACTAAAGAGCTCTGTAGCAGCACTCCCAGCTACCTTTAATGCATGTTTAGCATGAGTGAAAAGTGCCCCTTTGCTATTAGAAGCCACCAACATTCTGGAAGTGTGCAGTACCATAGCACGACCAAGCCTATAAAGACTGATACAGAAAGGAAACAGGAATCTGTGCAAAGGAGACTAACGAAAACAACGCCAGGGCAGGCTGCGAAGCCAGGCAGTGCTTCTCACCTGGGTTCTGGCCCAGCCTGGCTAATCCTAGCAGTGTGACGTTGGGAAGCCAGTCTTTCTAAGCCTCTTTCTTCCCTTCTGTAAAATAGGGATAAAAATAGTGCCTACTTCAGAGGAAAAGATTAAATGAGTACATAAAAGGCTGTTAGCATAATACCTAATATAACTAGGGTCAACAGAGTGTAGCTACTCCATTATACCAATCCCTGCAATTCCTATGTTGATAATGTTCTTCATCTTTCTTTACTTTTCAGATATAAGATGGCAAAGGACATGTATTTTTTAATTAAAATGTTTATTTTTTTAATTAAGAATAATAAAATTGCTCATGTTATAGGAACTAGGAACTATAATTACTAATACATATATAGCACTTACTATGTGCTAGGTATTATTCTAAGAATTTTATTTATTTCACTTATTTCATCCTCATACCAGCTTTAGCAAGTTGATATTATTGTTCTCATTTTACAGAGCAGAAAACTGAGGCATAGAAGTTAAGAACTTTGTCTAAGAGAACGCAAGCTGGTGAGCAAATGGCAGAGTTGGGATTCGAACACTACACAACCCTTCCAATCACATCTCTCTTCCTTCTCCTAATGCCATACTGAATGTTACATCTATCATTCCAATTAATTTCTTCAAATGTTTATTATATATGTTGGTAGCCAAAGCAATCTAGGTATTTTTAAGTTTTATTTATTTCTTCCATGAACAAGACAGACAAAGAGAGAAAGAGAGAGAGAGAGAGGACTCCCAACAGGAGTGCTATAATAATGTGGTAGGAACATATCACCTTGATTGTATGACACAGTCAACCCAGCTTTCAGTCAGCGCTGGATCATAAGCACACATGTGCCCAGCACACTCAGGGAAGTCTCTGGACCTGAACCAGGAACCTCCCAATGTAGGACCGCCTTGAAGAGCATCATGTTTTACCAGTGGGTCACTATGTGGCCCCTCATAAGCGATATATCAATATTATTTTCCATGTTTGAGGCTGTACATAAGGGTTTTCTATTTGGATTTTTCTGTTGCCATTGTCCAAATTCATCTATGCTGAGACTAAATCTAACTGAGCTCACTACATGTGTATCAGTTACCCCCCGGATGGGCACTTAGGTTATGTGCTATAATAATGTGGTAAGAGCATATCACCTTGACTGTACCTGGGAGATTTCCTCTAGGTTATACCTAGGACTGGAACTTGCTAGGAGGTAAGGTATGCACATCTTCACAGTTCTAGATACTGACAAATCATTTTCCAAAATACTCACATCAGTTTAAATTCCTACAAGTAGTACATAGTAGATCCCTCACTCTGCATTTTCCTTCATACTTGATATTATCAGACCTTAAAGTGCTTACCAATTTGGTAAGTATGAATCTATACAGCATTTTGGTCTTATTTTGTTATTTCCCTAATTATTAGTGAGGTAGAGTAGCTTTTATTTTATTTTATTTTTATTTTTGAGAGGTTTTTGCTATAGGGCACATACGCTTGCTGGAAAGACAGAGAGACAGAAATTGAGAAATCACCCCCTAGGGGGGATGACCATACTGCGATCTCTTCTCCTCCATTCTCCTCTCAGGATCTCAGGCACACACGCACACGCACCAGCATGAGTTTAAGCCACCAGGTCTGGGACTCGAACCGCAGTCAGCTACATGGGAATCCAGCTATGTAACCATTACACCATCTGCTAGTCCCGAGTATCTTTTATTTTATTTATTCGTCAGGCAATTTTTTTTTTTTTTTTTTTTTTACTCTTTATGAGAGAGAAAAAAAAGAGAAGAGGTGAGGGGAAGGAAGAAAGAGACAGATATTTCTGAAAGGGTTTCACTGTGTTTTGATTCTCCCGTCCCAGCCTCCCAATTAGCCAGGATTATAGATATGTGCAACAGTGCATGGCATGTTCAGGTTGGCCTGGGGAACCAAACCTGGGCCTTCCATGTGGCTTCCAGTCTCCCAAACAGTGGTACTACCTGTGCATTACCACAACTGGGCCAAGGCAGTTGTTTTCTAAGTCGTATTCCAGGTATCTGCTACCCTCCCACAGGCCATTTAGATGCTCATACACATGTTGTCTGTTCTTCCATCCTGAGCACAAGATTTACTGATGTCTAAGTCACCATTAGGCATCTACTTGAAAATGAAGAATAAGAATAGTCGGGAACCAGTAGTTAGTGTAATGGCTATGTCGCTGGACTCCCATGTAGTTGACCGCGGTTCGCGTCCCGGACCCAGTGGCTTAAAACTCATGCCGGGCACGTGTGCGTGCGTGCCCAAGATCCCAAGAGGAGAATGGAGGAGAAGGGATTGCAGCGTGACCATCCCCCCTAGGGGGTGATTTCTCGCTTTCTGTCTCTATGTCTCTCTCTGTCTGTCTGGCAAGCACACGCGCCCTATAGTGAAAAACCTCTACAAAAAAAAAAAAAAAGAATAAGAATAGTCAATGCTGAATAAATGAATGAATGAACACATGGACTCACAGTAATACTGTCAACCACTTACTGAGCTCTCCTATACAACAGAAGCTCTGCTTGGACCTTTCCGATAGTAGAGGCTCATGCATTTGGAAAGCAGAAAAGTGTTTACTATCTCCATTTTATAGGTGATGAAAGGGAGGCTCAAAGAAGGGAAGTGACTCATTTAGGATCCCAGCTAACAAATGAACAACCAATGATTGAAGCCCAAGTCTGTGCAATTGCAAAGCCCATGCTGATCTACCATGTCATGCTTCACATCAGCTCACATTCTGACAACCATAATCAGGACAGTCCTTTCCTGCCTCTGCACCACTCCCCACTCCGATTCATTGCTCTCCCTCACCTCCCGCCATGTGCCTGTCATCTGGCTACTCTTGGCAACAGATGCCCCTGCAATGAGCACCTCGTAAATCATTGCATCTGTCAGATCAACCAAACCAATCTCACTACGTAGGAGCCCAAGCCTCTGTCACTCCCTTCTGCTTCACAGCCCCTAGTAGAATGCCAGGAACTGGGGGTGCAGCTCCACAGACAGGGGAGAGTGGTCCAAATCTGAGAACATTCTCTTGTATTGTTTCCTTGAAATCAGACACATTATTTCTCTTTAAAAACACCCTAGCCCCCATGTAAAAAATCTGTATCATGTTTTCATTTTAAATATAGTGAGCCTAAAGCAGCATAAAATGTTTAGATTCCCCTGTTTACAAGTTACTGTGATAGTTCAGCCTGAGCATCCTTTTGATACATGATTGTTCTAAGAGATGACAGCAGACTGATTACCTAGACATCTCTCCAACTCTCAGTTTCATGTTGGAACAGAGTTCTGAGACAACCACCTATTAA